CGAGGAGTACCGCTGATGTTTCCAGGTTATGGGTATGGGAGACACGCAAGTACAGCACGATCGAGGAGGAGTGTCTGGCCATCAAGTGGGTCGTCCTCACCCTCCGATACTACCTACTGGGGTGCACTTTTACCCTCTGTTCTGATCACGCCCCACTCCAATGGCTCCACCGGATGATGGATACCAATGAGTGATCCGCACATTTCAACTGTTCTGCTACCTGGTTATCTGACACTTCAGCTATTCAAAGTCAAGGTGGTCCACAGGCTGGGAGTGCATATGGTAGTGGCGGATTACCTCTCCCGCAAGTCAGCTGCAGGCTGGATCAGGCATGAGTCAGGCGGTCTGGGTATGTGGCAGCGGGGACGTGGTCAAGCGTCAGCTGTGGACAGAAAGGAGGCAGGTCGAACTGGCAGGTAACGTGATGATTCTCACCTGTGTCTTATTACCACCAGTCTACTTATTTGTGTCTCTTTGTGCTTTCAGTGACTACCGTAACTGCGAGAAAGAGAGTGATATAGCTGGCGGAGCTTGCGAGACACACATACACCCATACACATGCCGAGGAGTGTGAACTTGATGGAGCAAAAGCCATGAGTCTGTGTCAGACCCTTTTGCTATTGAGCTCTTTTGTTTTGTTTAGTTTTTCAAAGTGCGCTGAAAAGCGCGCACTAAATAAACATGAGTCCTGCCTCCCGAGTCTTCCTCCACACTCTCACACACCGGATTCTACAATGCAAAACATACTTTTGCAAACTAGTCCTAGGATTTTTGGTCTATCTTCACAAAACTGACGTCCTACTCAGAAGAATGTGATCCTCAATAATTATTAAAAATATTTTGACGTTCGTAAACAATACAGTTTACAGTATCAGTTCTAAGGAGGTAATGTTGGTTTACTCAAACAGATGTAATTCATTATTGGTGTTATGGATTTAAACAAACTTGAAAGACAGGCTCAGGACAAGGTTCTGAGAACGTCTGCAAAGGCTGGGGCATGGTCATTGAAAGGGGGCAGAGTTAAGTCCTAATAGCTTTTTCTCAGGAAGCAAACGTCCAATTGAGCTGAAATTTGGTGTGCTGCATCAATCTGCTAATCTGTAAAGGGATTTTTAATCGTCACTGAATTGCTTCAAAAACATGGCCAACTTCAGCCAATCAGCTTTCAGTAGGCATTTCACACAACTAGCAATGAACTATCATCAGAAACGTGATAAGTATGTTCATCTATGGTGTCTTTATTGTTCTATGTATCTTGGCAAGAACTGGCCACTGGGGCTAGGGTTGCTTGGACCCCACAGATCGCCGCTCGCGGCTATATTTATTATTTTCCTCTAATAAAACGAATCATGCAGCCTAAACCATAAAGCATATTAACATGAAATTTGATAGGTAGATGCAGTGTCACAACCCCTACTCAGAAAAATGAAATGACCAGATTGCACCTCTTGGTGGCGCTATAGCACAAGAGTTTGTGTTTCATTCTATATCCTTTTTTCTTTTTCTTTTCAATCCCTTATTCTGCTTATTCTTTGGGTTCTCCCAAAAAAAAACAGCCTCAAGAACAATTTAGCTCCACCCATTTTTTGCTCATTTGCATAATATGCAAAACCTACTTTTGGATTTTTGACCCATCTTCACAAATTTGTTGTTAAACTACTCAGCATACTGTGAGGCTCAATAATTATCAAAAACATGTTGAGATTTGTAAACAATATGGCCACCACATGTCAATGCGGTGAAATGGCTGTTTCAGGAAGGGCATCCCGACATAAAAACTATGCCAAAATCAAAATACGCGGACCAATGATCAGCTGTGGCGACCCCTAACAGGAACAGCGGAAAGAGGAACAACAACCCAGCATCGTTGTGCACACCCTTTTATATTTGGAAATGTGGCAGTGTTCAGAATCAACCAGTCACATTCAAACTCATGTTAATTACTAGTTAAAATACACATGCCATCAAAAAAAGTGACTGATTAACCCGAAATAAAGTACAGTTGTTCGTATTTGATTTTCCTGACATCTTCTTGGTAATATCCAACTGGAAAAGCCATGGACCACAAAGAGCTTACCAAGAAGGTACAAGATCTCAATATTGAAAAATATCAATCAGGAGAGGGTTACAAAAAATTTCCAAGGCACTGGATATACCACGGAATACTGTAAAGCCAATAATTAACAAGTAGAGAAAATATGGCATAACAGTGACATTACTAAGAACAGGACATCCCTCTAAAATTGATGAGAAGACCAGGAGAAAACTGGTCAGGAAGGCTGCCAAGAGGCCTACAGCAACATTAAAAGAATTGCAGCAATTCCTGGCAAGTACTGGTTGCTCCTTACATGTGACAACAACCTCCCGAATTTTTCTTATGTCTGGGCTACAGGGTAGGGTGACAAGAAGGATGCCTTTTTTCAAAGGCCAAAAAAACAAAAACAAAAAAAAACCCACAACATCCAAGCCCGGCTAAAGTTTGTCCAAAAAAAAAACCCAAATACACCCAATCTCCCAAAACCATGTGGAACAATGTGTTATTATCTGATGAGGCCAAAGTTGAACTTTTTGGCTATAATACCAAAAGATATGCTTGGCACAAAAAAATAAAATAAAATAAAAATAACACATCACCAAAATAACACTATCCCCATGGTGAAGCACGGGAGCGGCAGCATTGTGCTTTGGGGCTGCTTTTCTTCAGCTGGAACTGGTGCTTTAATCAGGGCGGAGGGAATAATGAATAGCTCCAAATACTAGTCAATTCTGGTGCAAAACCTTAAGGCTTCTGCTAAAAGACTAAAGACAAAGAGGAATTTCGCCTTTCAGCATGACAACGATCTGAAGCACACCTCCAAATCAACAAAGGAATGGCTTCACCAAAACATTCGAAACAAAATTTCACAATAAAGGTAGAAAATGTTCTGACATGATTTATCTTGGTTTCATTTTTTCTTTTTTTTTACATCTCAAAAACGGGGCATTTTAACAGGGGTGTGTATTCTTTTTATATCCACTGTAACCAAAGAAGTGAAAATGAATGAGAGCACACAAACCCACGCACACAAAACAGATACGCCAATGTGACAGGAAGAACCTACGGAACATTCAGACAGAAAAACTCTCTCTTCATAGGGCAACAGAGCAGTCACATTTCTTGTCCCTTCTCAGTGTGCATGATAGCGCATGTGCTTTAAACAATGCTACCATTCTCCATTTCAGCCTTTCTTCCTCTTGCACTCCCTTTCTTTGTCTTCTTCCTTTAAAGGGGACACTCTTTTATGGGCGGCACAATCATTTGGGAGCCGGGGTGGCACCACTACTCCAAAAGTGGTGGGGCAAAATTCGATGCTTTTAGTGATAGTTAATAAAATTTGAGCTATTAATGATATTTAAACTAGATATCATGTGTATTATGTGTATCATGTTTTATTAAACACCAAAGACTCCATAGCATCTCAGTGTTTGTTTCCTGGGAACTCGGATCTTTGGATGCTGGTCTGTCATCATCTTTTTTTGTCATCATCTATCATTTGTCAATAAAAACATACAGACTAACTATGTATTTAGCTTTTAGTACTTTAGTATGGAGGCGAGGGTCTGATTATAATACAATAACAGGCCACAACACACCGTTTAATGAACGGCAGAGTAGTTTGTTTCGACCCCACACTCTTCATTTTGCATTTTACTCCTCAGGCAGATAAGAAGAGCAAAACATTAGTTCACAAAGTTGATAGCACTAATTCTAAAATATGTTTCAAGAATCGACAATACCACAATAGACTGACTGTCACCGTAGTAACTTTTTTGCTAAACATTTTTCCAGCAAGGCTTACTTACTTTTTTGAAGAATAGTACTTGAGAAATGTTCTTGTAATCGATTCAGAATACAGAATATGTTCGTATGTCACTTAAAATATTGATTCAACACAAGATTATGATTACCGAACACGGTTAACTCTTTATCGCTCACAGGAGATCCCTTTTAGGAGAAATGGAAGTTCTGATCGGTTTTTCAACCGAGTCAGACCTGTCTGTTATCGCCTGAAGTGCTGGGTCACCGCCCCAGTAGTTTGAAAAGTGCTACTTTTTGCTCCGGCGGCCCTGTTTGGGAGTCATCTCTGCGTACTGATTTCTTTAACAAAATACAATAAGACATACTGGATGATCCACCTTTTCTATCTGTTTATCTCCCTCAGTCTCTTACTCACACATTCCTGCTGTCTACTTGTGTAGAGACTAAGGCAAGGAAGGAGTGAACTAATCTCTCTATCTCTCTCTCTCTCTCTCTCTCTCTATGCTCTCTGTTTACATAAGCACACAGGGAGGAGGGGGCACTTCCAGTCTAAACAGCTCAGCCTAGCATCCACAACAATCACCTTAGAGAAGAACAGGACACAGACAGACAGTGTTGAGCAGCTTGTCATTTGGTATGCCAATGATGTTTTTTTTCTGATATTTTTTACAATACTAAAAAAAATCCAAATTGCAAATCAAGAACGAAATGGCCTGGGTGATTTTCTACGAAAACAGTCACACATTATTTCAAAAAAGTTGCAAAGTCCCAGTCCTCCTCAGAACCCCTAGTGTTCTGCCAGTGTTCATCTTCTCAATTAGCAGTGGAGTGGCGCATAAATTTTGGATGCCGAGAAACGAGAAAACGGCAACGTTTAAAACAACATTAAAAGCCAACATTTATCAGAGATGGGTTTTGTTTAAACATGTATCTCGTTTTAATTGCTTCTCTTCCAGTGCTTCTTCACAAACTAACTCTAAAGGAAACAACAGGAACAGAGAAGTGGGCATTTATGAAAACATTTCCATCATATGAAGTATAGTTCCTCTTTCGGCTGCTCCCGTTAGGGGTCGGCGCGAGAGGATCACTGGTCTGCGTGTTTGATTTGGCACAGTTTTTATGCCGGATTCCCTTCCTAACGCAACCCTCCCCAATTTTATCCGGGCTTGGGACCGGCACTGAGAGCGCACTGTTGCACGCAACCCCTGGCCAGGAATCGAACCCGGGCTGTAGCAATGAGAGTGCTGTGGCCTAACCACTAGACCTCCAGGGACCCCATCGTATGAATTATAGTAATATTATTAAAATAAATGTTATAGTTGTTCAAATGCATACCTTTTTTCAACTAATAGCATTTTGCTATAAATGCTTTGTAGGATGCTTTAGCACCAGTACAACACAGTAAAAGCTGGCCAGCTAGTAAGCAAAAACTCTTAACGACAACTCTTGTGTAAAAGCCTGCTGATCTGCTCGTGTTTATTTCCAGTTAAAAGCATAGTCTGGGGGGGTCTGCTTTTCTTTTTTCTTTTTTCTTTTGTCAGCGTTGGAAATCACAACCGAAAATGATAAAAGTTATTATAAATATGATACAGAGTACATAGATATTACTCTGTTTGACTGGTCACTTGAATTGAATGAACATCAATAATAATTATAATTCTAATGACTGTTTTAATAAAAATGAAGCGAAAAGTTACGAAATAAAAAGCTCCATGGCTCAAATTAATACCCAATACAGTACTGTACACATGCAACTAATGAGCCTAATATTGAAATTTTTGGTTTATATTCAAAAAATAAATCTGTAATGAGGGGGTCCATGGACTTTTTTTTTCTTCTTTTTTTTTATACCGTTAAAAGGGTCTCTGGTTGCAAACAGATCCCTGATCTAGCTCACAGTGTAATGTAATGAGAAGCATTTAAAGCAATGCTGTATTGTGATGAACACAGCTCAGTGGCATCTGTCTTGGATGTAATTTCATGAACTAACAACACTGACCTGTTCTTCAAACAATACAACAATACAAGGAAGAGAGAACAATGGACGAGGTTAAAAAGTATCTACTTTCCTTACCAATGTGGCTTTTAATCTTTATGAAATAATAATTGAAGTCAATGCCCACCATTTAGCAACAGAGAAAGAAAGAGAGAACAAGAGAGACAGTGAAAGAGAGAGTGTCAAAAGTCTATACTCACTACTGAGCACAGTCAATCAGCTGATACTCATTGGATCTCTCAAAGCAGGCTCTTACTCCCTCGTCGTGCCACAGAGTCTTTGTGTGTTCATAAAATTCCTGCCAAAAAGATGGGAAAAAAAAACTGAGCATGAGAAAAGGACAAAAGGAGAAGAAACTAGGATTCTGCAAATAATTTTTTTTATTTGCCATGCTGTGTAACATCACAAAACGGATAACTTTATGAAGCAGTCTGATCTTTTGAGGTAAAATGTTTAAGGTGTCAATAAACTGGATGCTCCAACATGTGACTTAGAGACAAGTGGAATTCCGCAAGCAGCTGGAGGTCAGAATTTCAGTATCAACTTTTTAACAGTTAGACTTTTAGTTGCATTTTTTTCCCCAGAAAACCAGCATTTATGAGAAGTGAACGTCAGTTGACAACTGTAATGTCAGTTACAGGTTTCTTCCTGTAACAAACTGATTTACCTGAATGAGTGAGGGCCACTGATCGCATCCTGTTTAAAATGCAACTGAACTCCATTTCTGGTTTATGTGAACAATAAGAAGAGGTTTACAGATGCACGATGTTGGCGCTCATATCCGGTAACAGTTCATTTCAGTTCGTATATTACTTTGTATATACTTTGTTCGTATATTATTTTGTTATATCAATATTACAAAATAACTGAATACTACAATAATTCAAAATGTCCACTCAAACAACTGCTATTTAACATTCCTCTAACAAACCTGTCATAATTACAACCTTTAAAAAAAAAGCATTTTCTATCAAAAACATGTGGCAAATTTATCGACAGCTCTAAAAGCATTTTGAATAAACACAGACAAGTAGTCATTTTAAATCTATTTTTCATTACTCTTAGTATATAGAAACCATTGCCGCCTTTGACTATTTTTTCTGTAAAGTTTTTTTTTAATCTTTTACCATCACCATTGGGAAAACTTATTTTTTTTAAAAATTCAAAAGTCTGTTACAGTATCTTCATTTTATTTTTCACACTGTCTATTGTACATTTTGAACATCACTAGATTGCAAATCGGACTGTACTCTCTTTTTCATCCACTTTATTGCTGCGTTCAACTAAAGATTGTAACCCGTATTTGTCCAAATAAACTGAAAAAAAATGGAATGTGTTTAGTCAGATTTTTAAAAAAAAAATATCGAGTATCATTTACAGAAAAATATTAAGCTTCTCATCAAGACATGACTTCATTGCTTATACTAAACTTAATATAAAGATTCTAATTACTAGAATTATTTAGAATGTGTGTGAAACGTGCATAGTGAAACATGAATAGTGCAGTGGTAATGTGGCTGTTGCAGAACGCCAGAGACCTGGGTTTTATGCTCAGTTAAGGTGAAAGCGCAAAGTTTGATTTTATTCGGAGCTTTGAAAATACATGATCAAATCATGTTGGATGTATGAAAACAAATTATGTTAATGTAACTCAGTTCAATCACATGGAACCGATGTACGCACTTGAATCGGGTAAATTCAATGAGCTTTTTTTTTGTTTGTTTGTTTGTTTTATTTGCAGTGTAGGAAAAACCAAAGAAAAAGCCCCTTCAAATCGGAATTCCTACTCAGAAACTCAGGATAGGCTCCACAACCCTGAGTTCTGCGAGTTACATCAAACCAACATGGCTGTGCACAGCATTAGCAGTAAACAAACTAGCATTTCTTTCCTTTAAATGAGTTCTGCTGTAAATACTCTAAGTATTGGCATTAGATCAATCAACATATAGACATATTAGCTTACTAAAGCTATAACATCGTCTATACAGTTCGATGTTTTGAGGAGGAAAATATACATCACTCAATCGCAGTTAGCGAGCTAGCCTGTTGCTAACAAAAGATTAACCCAACCTCTGAATTCCAAGGTACATTAAATGCAGCATAACTCTCTGTCAAGCAAATCAACCAGTTGGACTAGTTTTTGTGTGTGTGTGTGTGTGTGTGTGTGTGTATTCTTCAACTCCAAACTTGACAAACCATGTCTTCATGGACTTCACTTTGTCCAGTGAAGGGAAATTGTAATGCTACAGCATACAAAGACATCCGACACAAATGTGTGTTTCCAACTTTGTGGAAATAGTTTGGAGAAGGCCTACATATGGGTGTGATGGTCAGGTGTCCACAAACTTTTGGCCGTATAGTGTAGGTTATCAGCCTCAGAGGAACAATACTGAAACAACATGCACTTCCTACAGTCAATTCCAAAAAAAACTCACATTGAAACTAACAGTAAAATCCCCCAATCAACAGACTGGCACTATAAAAATGAGCAGCATGTATATAAAATCCAATGCACCATGGTCTTGGGATGCTGTACAGTTTTATTTTAGCACAATATTTTTTCCAAGCACAAGCAAAAAAAAAAAGCTCAATGTTGTCATTTTATACACATCTAATAAGCTGAAACTTGCACATGTGTTTGCCTTCTTCAATTCATACCACAGGTTTTTCGAAGTATTCAAACATTATAGAGATAATATAGAGATTAACTTTTTAGAGAACGGTATTTTTTTTTTCCTGGTTTTTGTTTTCCCGGTGTTGATTTTGGTGTACAGTTCAGTCCAAAAGTCTGAGAACACATTGAAAATCTGGGTATTTTTTTTTTCCTGTAAAACTGAAAATAAACATTAATATAAAGGTTTTAGAATTTTGAAATATTTAACAAAGAAAGTAAATGTTCAATATCTTGAATATTTAATACTCAAGATTCCGCACTATTTCTAGGTCCCTAGTTAAATGTAAGCAAATTTGTGATATTGACCATGTTAACTGCTTTGTACAAAAGGCCAGATTTTCCTCATGCCTAATCTTTTCATAGACACACCGATGGATTTGATCTAAAATGGATCACAAGGTTTTACACAAATTTGTGGAGTCCATGCCAGTTCGAGTGCCAAATACTAAGAAACTCTGAACTTCAATAATGGAAATATTTCAAAGATTCTACTTTTCACTCAAGTTGTCCATAATATAATTTGTAATGATCGTTGAAATTGAAAATGGCCGTTGAATTGAAAAATTGTTGCATGAAATTAGAAAAGAATGCAAAATAGAAGCATTTTCAAAAGTGGTCTCAGACTTTTGGACCCCACTGTATGTTTGAAGTAATTATCTTGAAAGAGCCATCTACAACCAACCTCCCTGGCATATTACCATCAATCTTTACAGGAACCCACGGACCACTAGCCAAAGATTTAATGATGCAACACCACATTTAACCGTAGGTCTCAGGTGCTTTTCATTGTAGTACCCTTTTTTGCCCAAAATGCTAATAGTATGCATGAACAAAAAAGTTAAGATTTTTGTCTCATTTGACCAGAACACAATTTTAATTGTAGTGTCAGTGGAGTTCTAGCAGTGCATTTTGGGGTTTGTACTCAGGATGAGCGTCTTTTATCCAACTCTTTCAAACAGCTTTTTATTATGGAGGTGGCATCTTTTTCAATACATCCACAATGCAGCGAAGCGAAACGCTTCCTTTGCCTGCATTTGGCTGCTTTCAGGAAGTGTTGAGAAAAAGCAAGTGAGTTCAGCTGTCTAGACTGAAAAACATGCAGAGGTGTAAGGTTAGATCCGTGCCCCAATAAATCTGAGGCTAAAACATGCTGGCTACACTAAAGCTATAGTTAATTAAAGTAATTCATTGTCTGCACATACTTTTGGCATGTTTCTTGCAAAAAAAAATAAATTATGCAAAATTCTGGATCATGCTTATTGGATCACCTTGTTGCATTGTTTGCTGGGTTATTGGCTGAGTCGGTTACAGTGACGGTGGAAACAATGGAGATGTGGCTGCCCACATTGTAACTTGTAATTCCTGACCTCAGACTGGGAAAAATCAAAGGAAACACCCCCTCAACTCAGAACTCCTATTCCTGAACTTGATCTCCTCAACTCAGAGTTCCTCCAAGTTCAGCATATTTTTTCCCCCACTTTGTAGATCAAACATTACATCATTCCAAGCTCCAGCTTCCCACTTGTAAGTCACATGCAACATCATATACACATGCAACATTATATTCTATGGTGTATCTACTAAGCTAAAGGGTTGTATTCCA